GCCGCTCCGCTCTGCCGCCGCCGCGCCACGCTCCCGGCCGCATCCGCCGCCGCCGCCGCCGCCGCCGCCTGCTGCCCCGCTGCTCCGAGGCCGGCGGGCCGGCGAGGGGCCCGGGCCGGGCGCCGAGGAGGCTTCCTGCTGCCTTTGTCTCTCGCCCGCTTTTCAAACCTCCCAGCCCTGGGCCGCCCGCACTCCGCCGCCCAGGCGGGGGGACCCGCAGGCCGCCGCGAGCCGCCGGGCGCGCGCTCCGCCGCCCGCGGGCGCGGGGCGCTGCGGGTCCCGGCTCCGGGGACACCGCGGCCGCAGCGCGGTGGGCGCGGAGCCCCGGGGCGAGCCGGCGGGCCGCGCGCTCGGGGGCGTCCGGCCGGCCCTTCCGCGCGACGGCTGCTCCCGCCGCACGTGCCCCCGCGATCCCTTCCAAATTTTTGTATGAAACACTTGATTAGATAGATATAAAGACAGCATTATAGATAGAGGTGCGGAGAGAGAAGGAATATAGAGAGACTATATTAGCATAACTATATATTAAATTATGTTGTGAGATCTAGTCAATATTACAAATGGAATTTTTTAAAAATTGTGTATATTTCATTCTAAATCATGTGCTTAATAGGATTATAAGATATGATAACCTGTCCCTAACTCTCCAAATGTGTTTAGATTTGGGGGAAAGGATTAAAAATAGTGAAGAGGTTATGAGAAAGCAAAGAGGAAGTAGAACTCAAAAGAAGAAAATTTCTAGTTGCCCATTCACAATGGACATTATTTTTAAAAATATGAGGAATATATACAGAACACTAATATTGTATTAGTTCATTTAAAATTTAGAGAAAATTGAAATAAATTCCAAAATTTAGAAATCATTTAGCCCACAATGTCAGCCTACAACGTGAAAAATTATGAATTAGTATCATAAGAATTGGTAAAACACACACACACACATACAAAACAACAAAAAATAACACTGTCCAACTAGAATTTTTTAATCTTCTAAAACATTTTTATGTTAAAAATATTGTACACAATAATGTGAGTGTATTTAGCACTACTCAACTGTACAGTTAAAAATGATTAAGATGATAAACTTTATGTTATGTATTTATCACAATTAATAATTAGAAATATATCAATAAATAAAATAATAATCTACCATAAACCCACAGGCAAAAAAGAAAAGGGGGAGAATGGGAGAGGGCCCATAAAGTATAAGGTTTTGAAAATCATTAAAAGAAAAAATTTTAAATTAATTTAAAAAATCATATGAAACAGCAACATAGGTCCAATTTAGAAAAAGAATCATAAATAAAATAATAGAACTCAATAAATAAATTAAAATAAAAATTATTTTAGAAATGAAGACTAAAATAAAAGAAAAACAAATTCCCTCTATGTTAAGAGAACTAGAAAGTCAAAGAAAGAACAGTTTTATAAATCAGACAGAAATTTTAAAATAAATGAAATAAAGCTGAAAGAAAGCTACTAAGATGCAGATTTTAGCTCTTGCTATAAAGACTCCAGCCATGGTCATGAACACTCCCTTACACTGTTCCTAGGCCTAGAAATATTTGAATATATTTCTTGATACTTACTGAAAGCAGGTATTTTCTAACCCTTCTTAGTGAGCCTATAAATATATAATAAGGTGTGTATATTTGTGAGGAGAGGTCTCTCCCCAGTATATCCAGACTGGCCCAGGTGCACCCATCCATAAAACAACTATGGAAAGTTGCAGGATATTGTGTATTTGCTATTTATTGTATATAAGTTGCTGTTATCAATGAATTTCATTATTGATCAAGAAGAAAAATAAATAAAAACTAAATTTTTAAATTATTTTAAAATAAAAACAATTTGAGTATTATAAAAAATTAAGGATACAGCTAAAGTAAAAAAAATCAAAGAAAAATGCATAGTTGTAAATATTTATACAAAGACCAATAAAATAGACATATTTTTGACAAGTCTGATCCAGAGAAAAACAAAGAAGACACAAATAAATAACATTAGAAACAAGGAATAGTTCAGATAACGAGGAAAGTAAACCATTATTGGATTACTTGAGCAATGTTATGCTAGTAACTGAGAAAACAGAGACATAGAAAATTATTTTCTAGATAAATATCAGTCCCCAAGTTTAATTGCTAATAGGTCGGGAACATTAATTTACCAGTAATCACAAAAGAAACTGAAAAACTAGTCAAGTATCAACCCTAGAAAGACATGGAGTCCTAATGCTTTTAGACTTAAAGATTATGAAATGTTGAAAGGATAGATTTTTTTCTGATATCTTCCTAGAACATAGAAAACATGGAATGATTCTCAGTTTAGGTAGAGTGTTGTCTAACCAGTACACATTTCTCCACACCTCTTTGCTACAAGAATCCTAATTTTGTTCAAACAGTATATTCAATGCTCTACTGGCTCTTGAAATCAATATTTTCATTAGAAGTCATGAGAATTCAATTTTATGTCTTACTGCCCTGTAGCTGGGGAGTGGCCCCATGACCCAAATTTGACCAAAATTGACATCTACTGTTGGTTGTTTCTGGAAAGCAGTTCTTGTTTTCCTGATTGACAGGGCAGACCCAGCTGCTCAGATCCTCCCTTTCAATATTTTGCCTTTAACACTTTTATGTGCCTGGAGAGGCAGCACCTTGTAGCTATGATTAAATAATTACAAGAAAAGCCAAGAGGATCCCAGTAACTCTGCATTTGAAGCCACCAAACAGCTGAATAAATGCCAGAAGAATCTGCTTAGGTAAGAGAAAAAATAAATTTAAGATGGTTTGTTCTGAAACACATATGGGGACTTAAGCCCAGGAACACCCATATTCAGGAGGTCCTAAGAACATGTTCCCACTGTGGTTAAATGGTGGCTTAATTATGTGCAATTTAGGAAGACAGATGTTACAAGACACCATTAGTGAATACATGTGATAATTTCATTGGTTTAGCCCAGGAAGGAGAGACATTTTAAAGTGGACGCTTGTAGGTTATAGGTGGACTCAAAGATTTCTTGGCTGGTAATTTGTAGTTGCTATCTAAGAAATTATGGAAATCAGTAAAGGAGATGCTTTGTTAAGATAAGTGGGCAGAAAATTCCAGGTTTGTTGATATGTAGATGAAACCCTATATATGGAAGACCTCAAATCACACTTCAGAGAGGATAGATAAAATGTCTTACAAGGTTTGTGGAGTCTGGGAATCCCCAACAAATGGCTTTTCAGGGTCATAAAATAATTTTATTTCCTTCTTTAGTTGTTTTGTGATATTATGCCAGAGTCAGGTGGAAAACAGACTTTTTAGTATATAGGATAATAGGGTCATAAAACCCCATCTGGTGAGTCCTTATCAGTCCTTCTCAAGTCTTTTAGTTAGGAACTTGAGTAAGAGAAAAAGAAAAGATCATGTATAGTCCTCGTTATACAAGTCACTTTAGTTTTGTTTTTTGGTGTTTTTTTGGTCAATGTGTGTGGATAACCAGGGTACCAGAAAAGGGTATCACAAAGAAAGCACAACCTTTTGACTAGTTTGCACTTTGATATGGATGTAAAAGTCCTACATAGCATGTTAGTTAAATCTAACATTATAGTAAAAAGAATGAATCATGGCCCCAAAAGATTTATCTTTGGAATACAAGATTGACTTGATATCTCAAAATATTTTGATGTACATCTATAGGTTACTGTTTAAAGGAAGAAAAAAATGACCTTACTGATATATGATGGAAAAGCTTGATCAAATTTAATATTTATTCCTGATAAAAGCTCTTATCAAGGTAGAACAAAGAGGAAATTACCGTTAAATGTTAGACTACTATGCAGAAGTTCACTGCAAGTAGTATACTTAATTGTGAATGTGAAGTTTTCTCATTAAACTCAGGCATTAGTGCAAGGAATTCTTCTATTATCACTACTTCCAATATTATTCTTACAATTGTATCCAAAAAGGTAAGATAAAAAGATCTAAATCATAGATATAGAACAAGAAGAAAAATACAGTCATCTTTGTTAAGTCATATAAAAAGCTAAGAGAGCTACAAATAGTAAGACTAGAATCTGTATGCTGGCGGAATAACATATCAACTTAAAAAATCAATAGTTCCTTTTAGAACAATAACCAAATAGAAAATGGAATAGAAAATAAGATCCTAATTCATAGAATAAAACAATAACAATAATGTGGGGGCCATGTACCCCTAAAGATTCACTGAAAAATCACTGGCACAAGGGAGACTGATTAACAGAAGAAAGGCATACACATTTATTTTATGTGTACACACAGGAACCTTCAGAATGAAGACCCAACTTCCAGTAAGTTATAAATGCTTGTATACTTTCTATACCAACTTGTATAAAACAGATTGTGGGATGGGGGGAGAAGAAAATTCCATTGAGGGGCAACAAGTGA